AACCCCCCCCCCCCCTTGTTGCAATTTAAGCCCATTGCTTTTTGTCCTATCCTCAGAGGCCAAGAAGAACAATTTTTCTTCCTCCTCCTTGTAACACCCTTTTAGATACTTGAAAACCACTATCATGTCCCCTCTCAGTCTTCTCTTTTCTAAACTTAACAAGCCCAATTCTTGCAGTCTTCTCTCATAGGTCATGTTTTCTGGAACTTTAATCATTTTTGTTGCTCTTCTCTGGACCTTCTCCAATTTTTCTATATCTTTCTCAAAATGTGGTGCCCAGAACAGGACATAATTGAGGCTTAATCAGCACAGAGTAGAGCGGAAGAATGACCTCTGGTGTCTTGCTCACAACACTTCTATTAATGTATCCCAGAATCAAGTGTCACACTGACGACCCATGTTTAACTTGTTGTCCACTCTGACCCCTAAATCTCTTTAAGCAGTACTTTTTCCTACATAGTCACTTGCCATTCTGTATGTGTGAAACTGATTATTCCTTCCTAAGTGGAGTATTTTGCATTTCTCCTTATTAAACTTCATCCTATTTACCTCAGACCATTTTTCCAGTTTGTCCAGATCATTTTGAATTTTGACTATATCATCCAAAGCACATGTAATCTCTCCCAGCTTGGTATCATCTGCAAACTTAATAATCGTACTCTCTATGCTGTCATCTAAATCATTGATAAAGATATTGAACAGAACAGGTCCCAAAACAGACCCCTTTGGAACCTCATTTATTATGCCCTTTCAGTATATGTGGGAAGACTAACCAGAATCTGTATAGGGCAGATCCACCAGCCCTTCCCATACTCCTATCCACTCCACACCTAATCCTTCCTATGCAGAGATACTGCATACTGAGGAACTTAACTCTATGGCTTCCTGAAAGGGCTTCTTAAGCAGGCCAATCTTGAGCATAGGCTAAAGCCCAAGGGACATGTCTATAGAAGTCCTAGCAATATACCTGAGCAAGTACAGACCCAGAAATTTGAGTGTGGCCACTCAGACATAGGCACCAATCACCTGCAGTGTGGACCTTTTTAGGGTCATTCTGTCAGATGGTTCCCTCACTCAAATATTTTCACAGCTAATTATGTTTTCATACACTAATCTATTTCTTACTCATGATTAAAGTAGATACTTTCAGAATTCACAATAGCTGTAAATGATTACTTGAGTCTTCATGCCACAAAATGAAAAACATTTCAGGAAAGAGCAAGTAAGTGCAAGCATTCCACCGACTTATTTTTTCAGCATTTTGTACTTTCACCTTTACATGAAAATAAAAACAAACCCTCAAATATTTACCTTCCCATTCTGTTGGCAGGTTGCCCACTTCATACTTGTATGGCTCTTGATTTACAACATCTACTAGTCTTTTCTCTGGAATAGTCTGTCCTATTAACATAAAGAAAGATTATATTTAAAATATACACTTCTAGTACATAAACAGACACACAGATTATGCTATAACAGTGTTGCTACCCCCACATGACCCCTTCTTTACTAGCTGTGGTGTTGTAGTGCCCTTGGTTCAGTTTCTCTTGATTATTCTTTGGCCTTCTCTCTCTGACCACTTCCCAGTACTGTACCCTTTCTGGGGGCCGGATTTCAGGTCTTTAATAAAGGACTGAAATATGTCCAAAAAACAAACCTTTAGTCCACCTGGGCTCAACTGGCAGCTGCCTCATCATAGCTGTGGCTTTACTGCTTGACACTGTCTTTCTGTACCTCAACCCATCCCATGATCCAAGAACTGGTATCCTCCTTCCCTTATCTCGGATGTTGGACAGGCTCCAGTTAGGCCCCACCTCTATCGTGGGAAAGCCTGTTTCTCCCCTTTCTCTTTCACAGCCTCCCATCTGGCTGCTTCTTAGAGAAAGCAAGTTCCCTAACTCCTCTTCTCTGTTTTTCCCCCTCTCCCGAAATGGCCTCACCCACCTCTTTATGGAAACAAGCCTTGCTCCCCTGCAAGCTGGGTTTTCTTTCTAATCAGGCCTGGCCCACCATCCAAGTGCAAGCAGGTTGGCATATTGATTCTCAGCCCATACTGACCTTTCACTGCATATGTGGTGTATTTGAATGAATGTAATTTTTTATGTACACAAATTAGGGATGTAATAGTGTAGTTGATTAACCAATAAGCAAAAGCTTATAGGTTAATGCTATACACTACACACATTTCCCTGGCCAGCAGCCCAGCTCAATCCTGCCTCACGCTGGATCTGGGACCTAACCCCCCTGCACCTGTGCATTTAAAGTATATTAGGACCTGGGCGGGCAGGCAGCTTGACTCAGTTCCAGCTCACACTGGGTCCGGGAACTCAGACCCACCTCCCCAGACAGGGGCTGCTGTCACTATCAGAGGTAGCAGCACAGGACGACAGGCAACCAGTCTGTGATGGGAGTTGGTTTTTAAACTCTGGATCCCCTTGCAGACCAGCTCCCACCTGCTACCCTGTACTGATGCCTCTGATACAGAAGCAGCAGCACAGAGTGGCAGGGGCTCCTCAGGAATAAGGCTGGAGTACACTGGTTGCCGGCCCCACCCCTGGGGACTACAGAATAGTTGACTAACCAATAAGAATTCTTGAGGTTGCTCAACTATTAAATTAACCAATATTTAACATCGCTAACACAAACACAAATCAGCTACACAGACTAAAATTGAAGGATTATCATGCAGTGGTAAAAGATGGCAACTTAGACATTACATTTCAAACTGCTAAACTTTGTATGCATATTTTTAAAACTTTAAGCTCTCAAGTCATTCATTTACTATGTATGTTAGAGAGTTTGTCTGATCAAGATGTCCTCCTAAATGGTAAGAACTAGGACCACCAAATTTGATATACAGTTTCCTCCTAGCATAACTTAAAGCAACCATAAGGGTTTGATTGTGCCAAGAAAATGGGATATGCCTGGAATGGAACTGCATCTCATAATACCAAACAGAAAAGAGATAGAATCCCCTAATCAAGTTCAGTCCTTAAAATTGACATAACTGAGCAAACTTTGAAAGAGACTGAATGAACCAAGATGAGCCAGAAAAATAGCATGAACCTGGAATAGCATTGCTTCTCAATAAACCTTACAGAAAAGTGATACAAACAGAGAAATTTGGAGTAATGCTCTGTTGGTACAGCTAAATCAATTATTTAAGTTTGACAACTAGAAGACAATGTTATTGGAAACCTAATTGACTATAGCACCTTCTTGTTAGAATGATAAGAGCTCTTATTTATTTTATTTATTATTTCATAAAAATAACAGTGTTTTTGAAAATACAATGATTTAAATAAAGCATATACTTTTTCCTTTTAGTTAAAAAAAAATCAATTGAGTTAAGGACCCAAGCAAAACCAGGTAAATCTGCTAATATATTATACAACAACAAATCTAAAAATCAGTTCATTGTGCAGTTTTTTGCATTAATTATGTCACACTAAGGTCCATCTGTTGAAACTTTCCAATAAATTGTATCCATCACTCTCAAATATCATTAAGGTTCCTAATGGTCAAGATCCAGAATTTTTAAATGGTTCCATAATTAAATGGGATGCCAGCATAGAGTGTGAGCATGATGTGCTCTGATTCATCAGATTTGCCTGGAATGCAGGCCACATACAACATGCTAAGAGAGAATTTCCATGTTCCTTTCATCCCCTGCAGAAAAAGCATTTTGCTAAGCATTTTTCCTCATATAAAATAAATGAAGCACCAGCTCCAATGATGAAGAAATGAGAAAGGAAAAAAGCCATCCCCGGTCTCTAAAAATTGAGTACAAGCAGGAATTGTACATACAATGACAAATGCAATTAATTTGACTAATATGGGACCTGTGGGAGGAAACAAATTCCTGAAAGGAGTCCTGAAAATACAGCATTCATGTGGGGATAGAGCTAAGGTTTTAACATACCGTCTGTAGTGTTTGATGGTTGTTCTAGGTAGTGATACATGTCATTGGGTGGATAACAATAATGTTCTTGTTTTGGCAATAAGTATATTATGAGTACAGCAATCTTCAATGATATAAAGCACAGGGTGTCTTCTTGTTTAGTCTTGAAACAATATGAGGCCTGAGCCAGTGTATCCCTAAGGACTGAAGATACTTTCCTCCACTTCCTTGAAAGTGGTGGCCATTTCTTGTAATTACAGGGACAGATCTTTTAAAAAAAGCTGCACAAAGATGTTGCAGTCTTTGCAGAGCTGGAATAGTGGGATGGGTGTAGAGAACATAGTCAAAGGTGCATACCGAACATAATTCAGCATATGAATATCACCAGACCATATCTGAGTCATATTTTACATCGACATGTGCAGGTTATACACATGACAAAATATGAATTTTAACTAAACATGTTCCTTCTATTAGGTAATTCTGATGCATGCTTTCATAAGACAAATAAAAGTAATGGCATATTGAGGATCCTTCCTTCAGTATTGAGCCTCTGTACAACAAAGGCCAGTCCTGTAACAATCAGAGCCAGGTGCCATACTCTGAAAATTACTTCTCAAAGTCATTATTTTGGGGAATCATCATCTCATTGGGATGGTGGCTGTTAAATCTTACCTGCTTCTGTAAGGCCTTTGAAGCAGGATGCAGGTAATCAAGTCATTGAGACAATGTCCTTGCTGGTTGAAATGGCAAGAAACTGTTTTTTCTTTGTGATCCTGTCTGATATCTGTTTTGTGGCCATTGATCCTTTGGCGAAGTGTCTGAGATGTTTGTCCAATGTACATAGCGGATGGACACTTTCGGCACATGATTTATGCTATCATGTGCCGAAAGTGTCCGTCTGTTATGTATATTGGACAAACGTCTCAGACACTACGCCCAAGGATCAATGGCCACAAAACAGATATCAGACAGGATCACAAAGAAAAAACAGTTTCTTGCCATTTCAACCAGCAAGGACATTGTCTCAATGACTTGATTACCTGAATCCTGCTTCAAAGGCCTTTTAAGACTACACTTGAAAGAGAATCCTCTGAACTGTCATTCATGATTAAATTCGACACTCTACACTTACATTACAAAGATAGCTTCTCCAATTATCACCTCTAATATCATTAGCTCACAGACATTTACTCCCCCCGCCCCATACCCCTTCTGTTCTGAAATTTGATTTGTCCTTTTCATATGTGTTCATTTTTTAAATTGTATCCTTTGGTATATATGGTTGTGACAATTTTCTTCCACTATTTGATCTGAGGAAGTGGGTCTGGCCCACGAAAGCTCATCATCTAATAAACCATCTTGTTAGTCTTTAAAGTGCTACATAGTCCTGGTTTTTGTTCCAATGATGAAGATTCCTCAACCTCCTAAGCAATTTATTGAGTACTTAACCACCATGAAAGTTAGGAAGTTTTTCCTAATATCCAACCTAAACTTCCCTTACTGCAATTTAAGCCCACTGCTTCTTGTCAGACATTACGGAGAATTATTCTCCCCCCGTAACAAACTTTTAGGTATTTGAGAGTGGCTAACATGTCCCCCCTCAGCTTTCTCTTTTCCAAACTAAACAAACCCAATTATTTCAGTCTTCCTTCATAGGACATGTTTTGTATGCCTTTAATCATTCTCTGGACCGTTTCCAATTTGTCCACATCTTTTTTGAAATGTGGTGCCCAGCACTAGACACAATACTCCAGATGAGACCAATTCAGAGAAGAGTAGAAGAGAAGAATGACTTCTCATGCCTTGCTCACAACACTCCTGTTAATGCATCCCATAATCATGTTTGCTTCCCACTCCCAACAGTCACACTGTTGACTCATTTTAAGCTTGTGGCCCATGTCTAAAGAGGTGTGTCAGTTTAAATTTTACTAAGCATCATATTTCCCTGTGTATTTTTCCTAAGCCAAATTCATCTTTGGGAGAAGCAGTCTATGTTTGAGCTTTTACATGGACAGCACTAAGCCCTTTTGAACTCTGCCACATCTGCTTGTGTCCTATGTGGACCACATGAACTATATAACTTCCTGCATTAAGACTGCATAAGAAACAGCTGCTGCCACACCTGCTCATTGGATCTGAGCTCATCCTATGAGAGCACACGCCATGTCAATAGCATTCTGAAGTGACATCTCACTATTGGACACTAGCGGGGCTGCTATAGTTTTGTTCGCACATATGTTTTCAGAGCATTATACTATTACTACAGCAGTGGAAGTAGATGCAAACTTTGGGAAGGCAGTCTTGCAGTCCTTGTTTAAATAGATTCTGAGCCCCACCAGCTGTGTGTACTACTTGTGAGTGACCTCAATGGAATATACAGCTACATCTACTCAAAAAAGAAAAAATGGATACTTATTTTAACAGTGGTTCTTCCAAATCTGATGCAGATGTTGATTTCATGATCCCCTCAATCCCCTTTGCTTCATAGTCTAGTCTC